GCTCAGCAAGTCAGGAATGGTAGCATACACCTGTAATCCCAGCTACTCGGGGCTGAGGCAGGAGGATCACAAGTTTGAGGCCAGCCTAGGCAACTTGGCAAGACCCTGTCTAAGAGTGAAAAATGTTGATGATGTAGCTCAGCAGTAGAGCACCCCTGGGCATCTATGAGTTCAACCCAAGAAGAAGGAGAAGGAGAAGGAGGAAGAGGAAACGAGGTGAGAATAGGCAACTCTTACAGAACTTTTGATGGGGTGTTAGCCAGAGGACCTGAGTTTGATCCCCGATACCAAAAAAAAAAAAAAAAAAAAGCTGATGAAGATGAGGGAAAGAGAGGAGAAGAGACAGAAACAAGCAGATGTGGTAGATCATGGATGGTCTCTTCTGATTGCATTTTTTCCCTCTGAACTTTTCTATATAAATCAGGGTTTGATGTAGAATAAAGGGTTTACTATAAAACCTTACACAATTGTGAGAACTGGTTAAAAATTCTATAGAAGACTGTTGCCTTTGTATCCAGTGTTGAATCTGAAATCACTTTAGGTCAGCAGAAAGGAGACACGGAAGCAAAATGGGGGAGAACAGGGTAGACCAAAACTTGCCAGCATGAACTACAGCTCACAAGGAAAACTTGGAACCCATGTCTGTGTCTCACTACTTTCAACTCTGATGATATGAAAGTGAGGAAGCCAAGACAGGATAGAGGAGCAGAGGTTAGTGCTTTGAAGAGAAAGAAGTTAGGAAACAGTCACCTAAGAGAGTGAAAGGGGGGTGGATCATGGAAATAGAATACCTGTTTGGCCTATTAAGAGACCTCTAAAGTTAGTGATCATGAATTTTAATAAGGTCATAAATGGGAGTGGGATGCAGCTCACTGGTAAAGCATTTGCCCAGCATGCACAAGGCCCTGAGTTCAATCCCCAACACTGAGGAAAAAAAGTCACAAATAGGAAGAAGTGCTCCCAGTAGAAAAGAAGACTATATTAGACAGATTTCCACTTAAGAGGGTGTGGCTTAGCCAACATGGTGTAAGGAAGCAATATTGAGACGGGCCAGGGAGTGAACAGTTAATCATGGTAAATGGGACACAACATACATTCTGTTGTAACCTGAGCTATGCATACAGCCTCCATACACAACTTTCTGTAAACCATGCTTAACCCTCTGAGGCCAAACCTAAAGTCTGCATTGAGTCCTTCCTACCACAATGACCTTCTGTGATGGGGTTGCTGCTTAGGTGCTACAAACAGCAGCACCACCCAACCAACCGCCTTGATCAAGCCAGCTGCCACATACCCGGATTTAAAAGGATCTCTCCCACCTAGCAGAGTGGCTACCATCTCACTTGCACTAGCTCTTTCCTCTTCTCCCCTCCTCTCCTCTATCCTCTTCCCACTCCTCTCTTCCCTTATCCTCTCCTCTGTTACCCTCCTCTCCTCTCTGGACTTACTGTGTCCTCTCTGGACTCATTGTGTTTTTTGTCCAAGATCTGTCAGTAAGAAGTCTTTGAATGCATTTCCTATTGTGGGGCTATAGTGAATTTGTGCCTCCCATCTGAAGAGCCAGGGGCAACTGTTGCAGATATCCCTGCCCAGTATAAACAGGCTATGAGTAGCACCTGCTTTTTGCTTTCCATAATTTGGCTATATTGTTTTATATCAGGAGTCAGACCAAAGCTCAATATGACTCAAATGGGCATGTCACATGGTGGACTGGGTGAGTATAGCTCCTTCCCCAATGGCTGCCATGAAAACTTAGGCCCTGGTCTGTGAAGAAGTGGCAGGGCTCTGCTGAGTTACTTTCAGCTGAAGTCCGCGTGACCCCAATTAAAATCCTTTCCCCTGAATTGTGGCTTCTCACTGACCCAATAGGTTGCTTGCTAATGGTACCCTGTGCTAGTTTGTTCTATCCAAGGAAGATAAGCAGTGCTTATTCCCTAACAGTTCTGTCTGATGCCATCATGCCAGGTGTCTGGCAATATTTCACTAGATGCCTTCAAAGCATACCTGGCTCCCTATACTTTCCCATGATTGTATTCAATAAATACTGGATGCACTTAGGGGCCTTTGTCTTTGCTGCTATCAGCAGCACTGATCTTGCCCCAAGACTCAGCTTTACTCTAAAGTCTAGTTTCCTGTCTTTATTCTTTTGCCTTGTGCTGTAAGTGGCTCACGTGAGGCCAGGACCCATGGCAGAGGTTCTAGCAATGTTCCTTTCCCCATCCCCTGCAGGCAACCACAGGCCAGATTTTCCCCAGGGCAAAGAGGAAAACACACCTCAGGCTCCTAGTGCCAGGTCAGAGAGACATCAACTGGACCAGGTCAAACGAGATGACAGGACCATAATGTTTTCTCAACCTGCTTCCTGCTACTCAAGATTAGAGACCTGAGGGCTGGGGATTTAATTCAGTGGTTCCACTGCCTGCCTTGCAAGCTCAAGGACCAGAGTTTGATCCCCGGTACCAAAAAAAAATTTAAAAAAATAAAAAAAATAGAGGCCTGAGGTTAGGTTTGTCCAACTTGAACAGTTATAGGCCCCTTACTTCTCAAATCATTTCAAAAATGTGACCAGTTCTGATTTGTTTCCAGTGAGTTCCGTGCCTTCCTTAGTCACTGCACTTAATGTCTTAAGAATATGAGCCCATTATCACTCAGACGTATGTCAGATATTTTCCTGTCCTTTGCTTTACTTGATTTGTAATTATTACAAGAGTTAATTCAGTATTTAATTAAATGCATTTAATTATATTGCTTTTTAAATATTGGTAAAACTAATTTAATATAGTTGAGTATGCACGTTTCTTTTTGATTTCTGTTTACTGCCTTTCTTTAGGAAGGCTCTTTTTAGCCTAAAGTTATATATACTATTCTCCTAACTTTTAATGCTTTATTGTTTCTTTAACCCATGCGTAACTTTTTGTAGAGGGTAATACTCACTTTTATTTTCTTCTAAATGGAATGCTAATGTCAGTACCATTTATTAAGTAAAGCATACCTCCCCACTGAATAGAAAGGCAAGTTTATTTCAGAACTGTCATGATTCTATCCTCTATTTGCCTATTCCTATACTACAATAATATTATTTGAAATGGGGTTTTAAAATATTTTATTTAAAATCATATTGTTTTGCTTCAGTACCTTCAGAATTTTAATATCCAAGAAGACAAGTTTCACCCTCCCATTTTTATATGCACACACACATAACACACACAACATAGTTTTAAGAAACTATTCTTGGACGGTTGATTTTCCTTGTGAACATTAAAATATTTTAACTGGTTTCCTTCAAAAAGTAAGTAAGATAGGAATTACACTAAGCATATATGTGAATTTTAGTAAGATTGATATTTTAATGAAATTGGCTTAATATCCCAGAGTTTAATGTAGCCATTAATTTAGACTCAGTTCTATACACACTAGGAAACCACTCTCCGTCCCCCACCTGAGACTTACTAAGCTGCCCAGGATGGCCTCACATTCCTGGGCCCAAGTGATCCTTCTGCCTCAGCTTCCCATAGCTCCTAAGTAGCTGGGACTACAGGTGGCTGACTTTTGCACTTTTACTAAAGTTATTCCAAGTAGTTTTATAGTCCTGTCAGGAAAGTGAAAGTACAATATAGTTTCCATTTTCATTTTTATTTTATTTATTTTTTGGTTTTTATGGTACTGGGGATCAAACTTGGGTCCTTGAGCTTGCGAGGCAGGTGGCAGAACCACTGAGCTAAATCCTTGGCCCTCCATTTTCATTTTTAAATAGCTATTGCTAGTACAGAGAATGCTTTTTATTTTTATATGTATTTTTATCCATTCAGCCTCCCAAATTCTATTACAAATTGAAGTATTCCTTCTACTAGACTCTCATGAGTTTCTAATGTGTACAATTATATAATCACAGTACAGATATCATTTCTTCTAAAATGATTACACCAAGCCAAGTATAATCTCAGCTACTTAGGAGGCTGAGGCAGGAGGACTACAAGTTTGAGGCCAGCCTGGGTAACACTGCAAGAACTTGTGTCAAAAAAATAAAAATTCAAACCAGTCCATCTTCTCATTTTACCATACTAAGACATCCAAAGCAAATGCTGATAAATAGTAGTGATTAAAGATGTCTCTGTCTTGTCTCTGATATGCTGAATGCTGCAACATTTCACCACACAGTAAATCTGCTGTTGATTTTGACAAATTATCTTTATCATCTTCAGTTTCTTTTCACTTCTGTTTCACTAATCTCTTAATTTTTACTCAGAGCAGATACTAAATTTTATTCAAATAACTCTGGCACAGATTCCCTTACACCATTCATATAATGAATGACAAAATTCTTATGTTAAACTAGCTTTGCCAAGTGCTATTTTTCTTAATGTACTACTGAGTTTGATTTGCTCATATTTAGGACATTTACATCTATACTCATAAGTCAAATGGTTTTCCTGAACCATCTTATCAAATTTTTGTGGAAGGGGAAAGTGGAATCAAGAGAGAATTTTGTTTTTAATGGACATTTTGAAAAATGCTTACTGTTAAGATGAAGAATGGAATGTGTTTAAATACTAATAGAAAGGATGAAATTGATGAAGATAAAAGCGAAAGGATAATTGATAAGGTAAAATTGTAAAGACAAAACAGATCTAGAGAACAGAAAGGTTAGAAAGGGGATACATGAATTATGACCAAATGAAAGGGTTCTAGATCACTTAGATCTGGAAGTTTAGTGGCTAAAAATTCAGGGAGAAGCCATCTAATTGCTTCTTTTTTCCCTATTATAACTATGGATACTCAAAGATATTTCCATCTATTTATATATGGGTTTATACATGGCTACTTCAAATGTTGCCAGTGATGATACATTTTTCATGTTATACATTTATCTACTTTTTGGGACATTTAATAAAATCCTACAAGGACTCAAAAACTAAAATTTTACTTCACACTTCCAGCACTCATTCCCACAAGCGGACACAAATCCATGAAACCTTAAATAATAAAATCAGACACAAAAATTGCTGTCATAGAAAATGATCAATTAAGCAGAGATTTTATTCCCAAGATCTTCAAACATTATTACAAAGACAAATAAAATGTCTCTTTAAAAGTGTCGCAAATAAAATCAAAGGCACACCATCCAAATAAAACACGTGTGGCATAAAGAATTCTTTTAGGCTGCAGTATTTTCACATTATTTTTTTTAACTATTTGCATTCTTCTATATGTCATTTGCATTTTAAACATTGTTTAAAGACATAAAATAATGTAGTATTCTTTACAAGTACAACCACAACTATAAAGTAGAGAAATTTAGAAGGAAAAGGATTAAATGTGCTTCCTACATAAGAGGGGGCAGCCTAGTACACAACATTAACATTAATCTTTCCAAACAATTTGGCTAAGAAATATCTCCTATGTTTAGTGTTAAATATAAATCTTCCAATTACAAAAAAAATCAAGACACCATTTAATGAGTAAAAGTCTATTTTCCCCCAATTTATATTTTTTGTCTTCATTTAGTAATTGTAAGTTCATGAGAATAGAACAATTTTATTGCAGTATAAAAATCTTAGGAAAAACAAATTGTAAACATTCAATTTTCTAATAGACAAAAATGCTTTGCTTCCTAAAATGTAAACATTCAGTAAATAAAACATGCATGGTATTCCAGGAATAGCAACACCAGTAGTTCACTTATGAAAGGGTTGTATTTATTGGTAAGGTTTTTTGTTTATCTTAAAATAAAGCACTTTGGCAAAAGAACCAGGCCATTATTATTTAAAATTCCACTCTCACTCACTTTCCTTATTTGAGTAGAAAATCATTAATTTTTGTAGAAATTTTGCTATAGGACTCTGCCATAGGTAAGGTAGGAAATATCTAAAAGTCTTTTGGCAAAGGAAAAGCATTCTCTTGAGACTTGGAGGGATTCATTCATCACTTTGTGCTTGAAGGCATTCCTCAATGAACTTCTTCCTTGCTGCAAAGAGAGTTTGGTTGGTTTTCACTTCTGTAAAGTTTATTCATAAAATTAACTAGTCATCATTTCATAGGGCATTTTAGTATTCAGAGTAGAAAATAAGAAGTTAGTCCAATAAAACATCCAAGCTACACCACTGCATGTATAGAACCCACAAAAGTGGGGCTGGGGATTTGCTCAGTGGTTCCGGCGCCTGCCTTGCAAGTGCAAGGACCTGAGTTCGATCCCCAGTACCAAAACAAAACAAAACAAATGGAACCTACAAAAGTGCTTTGTAAAAAGAAAAACACTATGGCAACATGAAACTATTACTTCAATATCCTAAATGTGTATATTTTCCATTATTAGGTATTATTGTACCTAATATAGAGTTACTTTTTTTTTTTTTTGTACCGGGGAAAGAGCTCGGGTCCTTGTGCTTGTGGGACAGGTGGTGGAACCAATGAGCTAAATCCCCAGCCCCTTCTTTTTCTTTTTTCTTTTGGTATTCTGAGACAGGGTCTTGCTACATAGTTCAGGGTGGCATTGAACTCGGGGCGATCCTCCTGCCTCAACCTCTGAGTGGGATTACAGGCATATGCCACCACTCTCGGCTACTTTTCTTTTAAATATGAACAATATCCTTTTGAAAGTATATGAAAAAAGAACCTAAGATGAGTACTTCCTGTTTAACCACAATTTAGAACACATAATTTGAAATATGCTAGTCCCAAAAGACTAATAATCTCTGCCCTTTTCCTCTCAAAAAATAATAGTGAAAATGTGAATAACAACTCAAGACAAAATATTGAAAGATGAAATTTCTAATATGCCACCCAAGAGGTGTTTTCATTTCAGTTATCAATTTTTAAAGCTCTTTTAATCCTATTCACACATTCCCCAAGCACTGTAGCTACATTACTTCTTCCAGGGTAGGATTAAGGTCAAGAAATTACTTACTACCTGTCAACTCATGTAAAAGGCTCCACTACATAAAGATACAATAAGTATCTCATGAATTAGCACCAAAGAGAGTTGAGACTCTTCTAATTAGATATATTCTACAGGTTGGGTAGTTACAGACTAGAGTCACCCCTCAGGGAAAGTTGTGCATTTTGCCGGGTTTTTATTTTAATTCCCCCAAGATTAGTGGATATTCAAACCGCAGGTCCCCAAATCCTTTGGGAAGTTCTGTGACAATGCCCCAGGCCCAGGATGGCACAGAGTATCATTACTCACTGGTCTTCAGAGTAAAGTACAGGACCTGGGCTCCCGGAAGGGGTTGCTGCCAGCCGGAACACCAACCAGCAGGGCATCCTTACAGGCATTCTGTATACAGTACTGCTGCAGCTCAGCAGCTGCCTGGGAAACCTGAAACAAAGAGAACACCACGTGCTGCTCACATCCAGATCCACCCAGCAGTCAGTCATCTGATATGCTGAAAACCATCTTCCAACCCGATAAAGGTCACATTTACCGCAACCTCCAAGTTTCTTTTATGCTGATTCTAATAAATGAATTCCAGAGGAAAGGTTACAGTTTCTGTGAACTTCAATTTAGGATGTTTTGGGCTTGGTTGCTTATCCAACAAAGGTACAAAAAAAGCTGTATGTTTGATCCATTTAGAATCCTACTTTTGAGACTTCATTGGTAAAGAAATATCGCACACTAGTGTTCCCTGTACAAATTTTCATTATGTAATGCATATATTGATAAAGGTCACAATTATTATTAAAGGTCAAATTTGCCATGTGAGCAAACTGTCTTAAAGTTTAGAAGGCTGGGACTTGGGCTTCAATCCCCAGTACTGAAAATAATAATAATAATAATAATAATAATAATGATGAATGTAGCTTTTAAAAACAGGCTCCCTGGACCAAATTCAGCTGAATCACTACCCAAGTTACTTAACTTCGCAATACCAATTTTGTCATCTGTAAAATGTACTGAGTAACAGTATCTTACTTAATCGTTGATGTGACAATTGAGTTAATACACATGAAGCCTTCAGCACAGTGCCAATGCATAATAGCAATACATTTGAAGCAAATGGCAAACATGGTCACAATACTGTGCAGCGCCTCCCACGAAGAGATAGTCTCTACTTACCCACCCACTAAATCTGGGCTAGCCCTGTGAATTGCTTGGACTGATAAAATATGGCAAATATTAGTGGGCAAATTCCAGTCAAGACCCCAAGAATCTTTGCTGCTACCTTACTTGTGGCAGTTGGAACCCAAAATCACTGTACCAGAAGTCTTTCGGAAGAAAAACAGCCAGCCATCAACCATCTGCCAACCCCAGGCCACGTGAAAGAGCCAACCCTCCACCTGACAGCAACACAGGGGAGAGCCCAGCAAAGATGAGCAGAGCTGCACTGCTGAAATTAGCTCACACTGTCTATCCAAGAATTGTGAGTTAAATGTTTTAAACCACTAAGTTTTTCGGTAGCTTTTAAGGTAACAAAAACTGATACAGTATCATTATGTCTTTTCTTCTTACTCTCCATTTGATGTATATTTCTCCTTGGAAACTTTTCTCACTTTATATTTTTCTTGCAAGTAAAAAGGGACTTTGTATAAAAACTTACCCATACTGTATAAAAATAGTCTCAAATGCTGTCCAAGTGTTATTATTAGCTTGTATTAATTTTCCAAGTCTCCAAATAAATGAAACAGTAACTGCTGTGGTGGTTCAGATATGGTTTGAATGTGTCCCCCCAGATTGAAATTTAATTCACACTGTGAGGTATTAACAGAGCAGAATCATAATCTGACTATGATATTTAGAGGTGGGGCCTTTGGGAGCTGGTTAGGATTGGATAAAGTCATCAGAGTAGATCTCCCAAGACTGAAATACTGGAGGCTTCCTAAGACAGGACAGAGGACAGAAGAGACACACATACAATACACACTACCCATCTCTTGTCATAAGATTTCCTGTGCTACCTTGGGAGCTACCAGCAAGACAGCTATCAACAGATGCGGCCCCTCAAATTTGGACCCACAGAACCATGAGCTCCAAGAAACTTCTTTTCTTTGCAATTTACCCAGTCTATGGTTCTGTATTCCGCTATCAGCAACAGAAAACAGACTAATACAACTGTTTCTGTTACCGTTACTACTAAGTTTCTGAAGTGCTTTAGCAATTTTTGTTTTATTAATGTAATAATGGTTTAAGTTATATAATTATAATATAACCAGACCAATGAATTTAAGCTTACTTTCCCTCAATAGAAACTCTTGACATTTTTGTATTAATTATAATTGGAATTATTGGTTTTAGAAAACAGTTACTAAATTAAAAAGAAATGTAATTCAATTATGCCCATGTTTACTATCTACATCAGGGGAACAGGGGAGCTCTGCACATAATAGGTGGAAAGCAGATCCCCAGGACCTGGGGAAAATGGAGTTAGCTGGAGTTTAGCCTAGAGAACACGGCCAAAAAGTTAAGATATGGGATGTGTTGAGAAGAGTAAGTGTGGTCAGCATCTCTCTAGCAGTATCAAGGAAGAGACTGTGGATGAGAAAGGCAAGTCCAAACATCCACAAGTTGTTCTGCCACGGAGATGGGTAATCCCTCTGGGTTATTATCTGGCTTTCCTTGGCTTGAGCCAGGCTCATCCAGCACCTCCCAAGAGACTGCTCCAAAGGAGGAGTGCTTGGAGGGAAAGCAAGGATTCTAATCACTAGGAAGCAAAGTCCTTCAACGTCCTTCATGGGAAGTTGGTGCTTCGTTTGTTTGCCAGACAGCTAGCTAGTTAGCCAAAAAGCAGAAATGCCTAGGTGTGCTAAGAATTCAACACTGACCCTAGAAATGAGGCTGCCTAGACTCTGGAACACTGTTACTTCCCAAGGTGCTACCTGAGAGAAGCCCAGCCAAGGCCAGATGGCCACACTGCCATAGTCAGACTAGACTATGGGTACACCCCTTACATACACTTATTATCTTATGGCTGGTATTGCCCTTGAGCACTTCACTCCAATGCTCTGGTCTGTTCCAGCATCTACTGTTATGGTTTGGGTCTGGATGTCCCCCCAAAGCCTCATGCAGTCAAGAGATAGCTGAATCTGGAATGTGATGCTGGGATTAAGGGCATGTGATTACTAAACCACTACACGTGAGTGAGTGGTTTGGCACCACCCTAATTGAGGTAGTCTGGATGGGATAAAAGAGCAAAATGACGCAGTGAAGGCCTCTTGTTGCCTTTGCTAACGTGTGCATGCCATGTTGTTTCTCCTCTGTGATGCATGTTTGACATCCCTGTCTTGGAGCCAGCCAACCAAGGACTGGAACCTCTAACTGTAAGCCAAATAATTCCCTTCACCTCTAACTTTGGGTGTCTAGTATTTTGTCTCAGCAATGAGAGAAAAGTAACTAACACACCTATAATTATTTTTTAAACATAGATATGATTATCTTTCCTAGCTAGTTCATAGGGGAAGAAGGCATTTGATTCAGTTTTCCTTTCCATTTCAGGTCCTGACCAGTTTCAACAATCCTAGTTTCAGTTCTTGATTTCCTCTCCCAAACAACCTTTTTCTCAATGCCTACAGCTACAAGCAACACCTGTTAGCGGTCCACTCCTGAAAGTTTACAGTCCAATATGCTACTGTATTCTCTGACTCCTCTACTTCCCTTTCCCCTCCCCCAGAAGAAAACTTGGCTTCCTATTTCACGGAAAAATGTCATCACGAAAGTTCTCTAGCCCCTGTCTAGAAACATCTATTATTACACATCTACCTTCCTGACTCAGAAGGGCCCCTCCAATCCCATGCCCCATTCTCCTTTTCCATCTGTTTTTACTCTTCGACCTAAAAATACAGTATGTTCCTTTCTCTCAATCTCAAAATACAGACTTCGTTTCCTAAGTTTCTTTAAAACTAGATTTCTTAGCTAGGTAAGGTAGCCACCTGACCTGAAATCCCAATGCTTGGGAGTTTGAGTGCACCATAGGCTACATAGCAAATTTCAGGCCAGCCTAGATTACAAAGTGAGACCCTGGCTCAAAAGCAGAAACATCAAAAAGAAGCCTAAAACTGGATATCTTTACAAAAAAAGCCATTTTGCTTCCACGTCTACACATCACTAAAACCTCTCTGTGCTCTATAATCCTTGCCCTTTATCTTGTTTTACAATCTTCATTTATTATCTGGAATCATTTTATTAGTTAACTTCTTATTGTTTCTCTTCCCCACCAGAATCACCCTATTGCCTTGACCAGTGCCAGGTATAGAGAGAAGGCCCCACGGATGTGGAGCTCTATTTCAATGCTGCCCGCTCCGACGTCTCCATACACCGCAGAGTGCTACACTGCTTACCAAACCACTTACACAACAGGCCCTTCTTAGGCAAGGACTAAACACCAGACTTGCTGACTAGCCCCACATATCTGAGAATTCCCCCTTCCTTGCGTTCTCTTGCTTCCTCTTCTCTCTGCCATCGTTTTGACTGGTCCCTGGTCGCAGGCTCTCGTCTCTGCTCACTATTTTTGTCATTCCCATCCATGTTCAACGGCCTCCGTCAGCCCTGTCCCCTGCGCTGCAGTCCATGCAGCCGATACCTCTTGGGTGTTGCTGCCAAGTCCACACAGCCAAAACGGGACTCGTGCCCCCTAAGATCCCCTCCTGCTATCCACGTTAGAGGATGGCAGCGCCACTCATCCTGTCACCGCGCCAGAAACCTGAGCATCCATCCTCCTCCCTTCTCATCCTATCTATCCACCGCCAGGTCTTGTCCAGTCGGTGTCCTCTCCATCCCTGGACTCCGTCCTCCCGCCTCAGTGGAGTCCGAGTCGCCAGCGTGTCGCTCGCATCACTGGTCCCCTCTGGATCACTGTCCACACAGCTAACAACAGGCGAGCCTTCTGGAGGGGGGACGCCCAGGAGAGACAGCCCCACTTGGCGGGGCCCGGCGGGGCCGGCCTGGCCCTCGGGCGCCTGGACCAGGTTCCGACTCGCGAGCGCTTTCGGGGCCTTCAGCCGCCCCGCCCAGCCCGGGCTGGCCCGGGGTCACGAGCCGAGGTCGCCCAGCGGCGCGCGCTTCCAAGCAGGCCTCACCTTGATCCTCTCCACACTGGCCTCGAGCTTGAGCTGCTCCACCAGGCGCTGCAGGGCGCTCACACTGGGCCCGGAAGACATGGCGACGGCGGCTCCGGCTCCGAGCGGCTGGGCCGGGGTGGGCTGCTCGGCCTGGCAGAGCCGGCACCGCCCCGGGGCGGGGAAGCAGCTGTGCCCGCCCCGCCCCGCGCCCGGCCTAGACCGCTTCGGCCCGCAGCGCGGACAAGGGGCAATCCGGGTTCCCTCAGTTCTTCATGCAGTCTAAACCGAGGTGACCTCTGCGTCTGTGCCCGGACCCCAGGCGCGGCGGCCCCCTCCGGGGCGAAGCCTGGCTTCCTGGACGGGCGAGAGTCGTGCGGGTTGCGGACACGGACTGGGGGTAAATCGGAGAACGACCGTTCCCGGGGGCAGGAGTCGAAGTGCGACGCGAGTTGGACAAATAAAGGACCACGCGAAGGCTGTAACCCAAGGGAAGTGAAGCACAATTCGTAGGCTTTCCATTAAACAGTGAGGCAAACTTATAAAACTTTACTGTTTCGTGGAAATCCTACCAGTTGGTTGGACAGGGGTAAGTAGGGTTAAAACTCCAGACCCCAATACCTTTGTGAAGTATAGAATAAAATTAATCAAGCCCTCTCGGCCCCCCACCTCACCACTTAACTATGACCATTGTCTCTAATTTCCTGCATTTTTTTAACACGCCCATTAGTTTTATGAACCTGTGATCATTACTATATGTAAACAGTGTGGGGGGGGTCACTTAGGGTATCATGAATTTGTCCTTATTCTTGTATGCCATTGTCAGACCCACTTAAGTTGAGTAATGCGGAAAGGTAATATACTGGGGTGTATAAATGAAAATTGCGGGGACTTTAAGCTACTAGGTTTACCTACCTACAGAATAGCTACATGGCCCTCATTCTCTGTCTCTTGGCTCTTCTTTCTGTAGACACCAGCCTCATTTTCTTCAGTGATAGACAGATTCTCAGTGCTGTGAAGGAAAGCTCAATGTGTTCATTATCCTAGCTACCAAACCCAGTAGCAAGAGAATCTCTTAACAATTGCTCATTTCAGATGAGAAAACTGGAAAAGTTAATTAGGTTATTATTAGGTTCTAGATTTAGCTTTAACCCATATTTAAATGTGAAGAGTATCACATTTTGATAAGATGAATAATCCAAATATAACTGGTTTATTTCAATACCATTTATCTGCCTCAAATGTACAATTACAAGAGACTATATTCGATTTCACTACATATAGTAGCTAGATCCTACTTATACCAGTGTCTAATAAAAGCCATTTCTAATTTCCATAGAACTTTGTTAGCAGCCAGAAATCTGGCTCATAAAACTAGCTGAGTGTTACAGAACTTTTGGCTTCCATCTACAAGGTTTGGATGCTAAAGTTTAGTGTTTAGTGCCTTTTCCTCACTCCTTCCCAATCTCAAAGGAAACATATTATGATTCTCTAAACATAAACCCAATAGTACTAAGTTTATTCTCTATATGTAAATATTTTAATCACCCAGACTAGGCTTGAACTTACAGTCCTTCTGCCTCAGCCTCCCAGAGTGTTGGCTTTACAGCTGTGCACCACCATGCCTGGCTCATATAAATTTTTTTAAATCCTATATACCAATTGTAGTGTTTAAGATTTCAAGCATGGTGTCTAATAGATATGTTATGAAACTGCAACCTATGATTTGTAGAACTTGAAGAATTCATTAATAAGACTGAGGAAAGGGCTACTAGGGGACTCTTGTTATGAAGATATCAGATATGAATGAATATAAGCTCAAGGGTAATTTCTGCAGACCTCAATTATATATGACAATGAATGAATAGGTGGCACCTGTCAGCTCTGCTCTGTCAGCCCTTAAATCCCAACCAAAGAGGAAATGATGATAGTCCTAAAGTGAAGAACAACAACTAAATTTCAACATGAGGCCCACAACTAGAGGAGCTTATGGGGTCCTCTGAACAGGATTCTTCTCCAAAAGTTTCTAAAATAGAGAGGCTTTTTTTTTTAGGGGAGTGGGTAGAGTATGGTGATAGTAAAAATATCCAGAATATTTAAATGACATTTGTGACAACTAATGGCTGTTCCTTCACCCTAGGATTTTAAAGCACAGAGTTACTGTAGCGTGTTAAGAGAATAATAGTCCTCTTGTTAAAGACAGTTCACTCCTCTTGATTCACACAATGACTGTGTCTCCAAAAGACAGACCAAACGTTACCCGGTGAGCAGGATCCCAGGGACAAGTCTAGAAATGAGATTTCTGGAAAGACAGGAAGAAATACAAAAAATCTTACAGAATGTCCATAAAGATATACTGTCTATATCAGCCAATCCTTATGAATGTTATCATCTCTTGTCTTCTTTCTTTCCTTACCACTAGATAAAAAAATACAAGCATTCATAAATTTCTTTGAAAATTATAAAAGCAAGTACCTATATTTCTTTTTGGTCTCCATAATATATGGCACATATTTCTGTTCAGAGATGATAAATGGCAGCATGTGTTAGTTGTATGATCACGCGTTCGCTAAGACAGGGACTACTGACTCTACAGACAACCACAGCATCTTAAAGGCATTCATCTCTGGGTAAAAGTTGGGCATTTGAGGTTGGAAACATAGCTACCTGTAATTTACCCCTATACCTTATTCATGCTCATAAAAATGAATGGATCCATATTTTCATCTAGAGTTTATAAAAAGATAATTATGTGGGCCGGGGATTTAGCTCAGTGGTTCTGCCGCCTGCCTCGCAAGCGCAAGGTCCCAAGTTCGATACCCAGTACCAAAAAAAAAAAAAGAAAAAGATAATTATGTAACTTCAGAATTTTAGAGCTGCAAAGGAGCCCTATAAATGGTTCAAATTCTTTCCCAATTTTATAAATGAACCAATTAAAGCAATCATTCACAGATTATATAACTGGCCTGAAGTCTTTATCTAAATTAGCAATGACAGAACCCTTTATATGTTGTGAGTTTAGGACTTTAGTATTAAAGAGATTCTGTGTACCTACTATGCTACCCTAATCATTTAAAATTATATCATATAAAATGCAATATATTAGTCTTTAGTTTAAAATGTCATACCAACAAACAATATATTACAACCATTTATTAATATGAAGCAATAGGATAAATCCTTTACAGGAGTACTGATTCACTACCATGAATGTGTACTGATACTTTGGTACAGTATCATGCTTTTGATTCACTCAAATTATGTGCCATTTACTTTGATTTCCATATATGTAAAAACATTTATATTTCAGTGGTTGAGAACAGTACATAACCATGCATATCTTCTTTCTAGTTTAAATGCATATAAATGTTCTCATGTACAATGGAGTTTTCACCAATCAAGGACTTCATAATATATAAACAATTTTTCAGCACACTATCTCTTGTCATTTTTTTAAATTAGAGGGGACCCCCCCCAAAAAAAGTACTGTGGTACAAAAGATCCTTTTACAAAGTCCCTTTCTGCAGAAATGTTTGAGAATACAGTTATAGTCCTATAATGAGACTATAATCAAGATCATCCTACAAGGACATGAGGATAGACCCACTCTCTTGGAGAGTTTCTGATCTTTAAGAGTACTGTAATAATGAAAGGTGGGGATTTAAAGACATTCTAGCAGAAGACTCTCCTAGAGAGATTAATTTGAACATATTTCAATCCTACAATGACTATAATGAAGACAACATGATAGCTGAATAATTCCACTGAAGAAGTTTGTGTCCAAAAAGACACAATAATTAAATGTTATCATTTTCTATTTTCTTACAGTTCATGAAAATATATAGGCCATGAAAGCAGAAAAATGTAGCAGTATAACAAAGAATAAGGAAACACCCTCGAAGAATAAACACTTAACACACCAAAATTTTAAATGGTATAAATTTTCATGTCAAATCTTTAACTGAACTATAAAATTTTTAAATGGCAACTAATAAATTTTCATGTCAAATCTTTTAACAAAATCCATAAATACATTATAAAAATTGAACAATCATAAATGTTTTATGTATAAAGTTTTAAGTGAAAGTTGATATTTCTACATTATTCTGTTTAATCAATACTTCTGGCATTTTAAGTTACTGCTGAGGAGCAGTTGATACATTTCTAAAATAATTCAGTTATGAAAAATAATATCAAATTAAAGTTTGACATAGTAGCATTCCATCAATCTTCAATCATCCACAAATGTTAACCGGCCAGGCCCTTCATTCTTCATCCATCTCCTGTATCTCTTCCATCTAGGGTCATTTGCCAATTTTTTCTTTAATTCTTCTTCCTGTTCTTGTTTATAAACCTGTAAATATAAATAATACTATATAACTTTACAATGAAAAGAGAAACATTTGCTGTTAACTTTATGGCATTTGTACATTTTTCAAATATAATTCTACATAAAAGTTTCCAGTGAATATACTGACTTGTCTTCTGAAGACTGTTCCTCTAAAAATATGAAGTTTAAGCATTTCAACATTCAGCGTGAAACAAAAAAACTTGTAGAAAAGCTGGTAGTACCTTTTTGTCACAGATTTCTGTAATTTAGGAATGCATTCTTTTCCTCATTGAAATCCCATGAGTTTAAACTGTGTTTAAATAGCTTAATATTTCCCTTGTATAATTAACATCCAATATTAAAGAATCAATACCATTTTTTAAACATGGTACATTGCAAACATAACCTTCAGTTTTGTTAATTTTAGCCAAGGAACAAAATGATCTTAAAGATACGCTTGTTGGCTAGGGATATAGCTTAGCAGCACAGTGCCTGGCAAGCGTGAGGTCCTGAGTTTAATTCCCAGTACCAAAAAAAAGATATGTTTGTCACCAAATTGAGCATACATCTACTACTTTATCTCCAAAGACTGGCTTTTCAAAAAAAGTTGTATTAAGTCCTTCAAAGAAGGTTAGATAAACTACATAGGTTAAGAACAAAGAACATCTGTTTTTAACTTTTAGTGGATGTCAACTGAAACTAAATGGACAAGCTGTCATGTTATAGCCAGTTTCAAACCCACATCAAATTTTAGAAAGAAATATTACTTCCAAATACTAGGAAGTATTAACCTCATATAATAACCTATCAGCCCAGTACAGTCATCTAAGACACAATATTTTTGTCTAAGAGAGAAATTTCTCTAATAGTTTAAGAGCTAATTAATGTTAACTTCTATTATTATGTTGTTAACAGGCTGAATATTTTAACTTACAAAAACAGCAACTCATACAAAGTTAATTTACTTAAATATTATTCAGACCAAAACTTTACTTTCAATAAAATGTATTTAAAACATCACTTATAAAAAGGAGTGACAGACTGAGGTCCCCAGTCGCGCGGAACACATGCTGAATCAGCCCGCTGCAGACAGGTATGTCTGCCCACACCCTACCGAGGTCCCCAGTCATGCGGAACACACGCTGAATCAGCCCACTACAGACAGGCAGGTCTGTGCACGACCTACCGAGGTCCTGAGTCGCGCGGAAGACATCGAATCACCCCGCTGCAGACAGGCAGCCACCTGATTCCACACTACAAAGACGCAGAGGACACCGGAACACCAGATCAAGGTACTGAGTCCCACTGCTCCTGGTCCAGAGGAAGGGGCTTCCCGGTCACCATACCTCCCGCTGCTCCCGGCCCAGAGGAAAGGGCTTTTGGGCCACCTTCTGTCCTGCTGCTCCTGGCCCAGAGGAAGGGGCTTCCGGGCCACCATACCTCCCACCCCTCCTGGCCCAGAGGGAGGGGCTTCTGAGCCACCATCCCACTGCTCCTGGTCCAGAGGAAGGGGTTTCCCGGCCACCATCCCTCCGGCTGCTCCCAGCCCACAGGAAAGGGCTTTTGGATCACCATCCCTATCACTGCTCCTGGCCCCTGTCCCACCTCATCCATCTCAGAGGAGGTAATCTGTACAGGCACTAACAGCCCCCGCCCCAGTCGAAATGAGAAAACACGTAAATAAGTCTCAAAACCAGACTTCCAGATCACCTACAGCAACCCCAAAGGGAAATGAGATGGA